TATCAAGAACTTGGACCATACCAATATGAAAAACCAAAGAGAAAAATGGGCACATGACATGATCTGGTATGACACACAGAAATAAATAAATATATATATATAGCTAATAAACACGTGACAAGACGCCTGACCTCATTCTCAACAGGGAAGTACAAAGCAAGACCACAATAAAATGGCATTTTATACACAGTCCACTGGAAAAAGTCCATAATGATAATACTGAATGGTGGGAAGGATCCAAAAGATACTTAGGTACTGCTAGGGAGAGTGTAAACTTGTACAACCACTGTAAGACAATGCTGAATTGTTTGCCAAGGTTAAACATTCACATATTCCATACCCTGGCAATTCCATTCCTACAGAAACTGTATACCAAGATGCATGAATGAGGATACAAGTGTTTAAAGCAGCAGTGTTTATAACATCAAGAAACTGGAAACAATCCAAACATTCACTAACAGGAAGTGTGGTATATTCACATAATGTAACAGGAGACTGAAGAGAAAAGATCGAAGTGAAAAGGAACGAACCACAACTCACGGTGACGTCTGTGAATTTCAGTTGCGTCAAAAGAGTAAGTCCTGAAAGACTGCACACAGCACAATACTTACAAATTCAGGAACATGATCTCATTCTTAAAAAGCAAAGGAATGATAAACACGGCATTTAAAAGTGTTTTCTTAGGAAGGAGAAATACAAGGTAGTGAAGTCCACAGAGGTGGTCAAAGGTTTTTGCCAGGGATCTGATTCTTCCAAAAAAAAAAAAATTGATGAGGTAGTGGGTTTCTTCAGGAATTCATAGCGTTATCAAAACATGTAAATACATTTGTATGAATAAAGTACAAAAGGCCATGCATGGGCCAATAATGAGATTATTTAACGAACCCAGGATTAGGATTTACTCTAAAATTCTATGTAACTAGAGTCCATCAAAAATAAATTGAAAAAACTTCACCCCGTTTCAAAAAATCGTTCATGCCTCTTCATTGCATCAGGCCTCTTACCATGGGCTCTAAGCTTTGAGACCTGGATGCTTCACATTTCATTTGTTCAACATAATGAAAGAACAGAACGGAGGAGGGAAGAACAAAACAAAAAAGTGAAAGCCTGCAGGACTGAGCGATTCTCCATCTAAGCTGTTATCTGACAGCGACAAGTCAGTGTTGAAGTCAGAAGCCAAAAGAAGTGCCCTGCAAACACTGCCAACACCATCACAGGACTTGTGTGTTCATAGGCATATCTCGGGGATACTGTGGGGCTGATTCCAAGGCCACTGTACTAAGGCAAGCATCACAATAACGCAAGTCACACAGGTTTTCCTGGTTTTCTAGTGCATGTAAAAATTATGTGGGACTTCCCTGGTGGTTCAGCGATAAAGAATCCATCTGTCAATGCTGGCGACATGGGTTCTATCCCTGGTCTGGAAAGATCCCACACACCACGGAGCAACTAAGCCTGTACACCACAACTACTGAGTCCAAGCACCTACAGTCCGTGCTCTGCAATGAGAAACCCATGCACCCACCGCAACCAAGAATAGCCCCCACTGGCCACAGCTAGAGAAAGTCTGTTCGGAGCAACAAAGACCCAGTGCGGTCAAAAAAAAAAATTTATGTTTACACTATCCTGTAATCTGTTAAGTGTACAATAGCATTAGTCTAAGCAAACGTACATACTTTAATTTAAAAATACTTTATTGCTAAAAATTAATACTATTAAGCCTTCAGGCAGTTGCAGTAGCAACATCTAAAACAACCAATCACATGGGATTTCCCTGGCAGTCCAGTGGCTAAAAGACTTCGAGCTCCCAAGGCAGGGAGTACAGGTTCAAAACCTGGTCAGGGAACTAAGATCTCACATGTCACAACAAAGACTGAAGATCCTGAATGCCACAACTAAGATCCAGTACAGCCAAATAAATAAATATTAAAAAAAAAAATAACTGATCACAGATCACCATCACAAAGGTAACAACAACAAAGAGTTGGAAATATTGTGAGAATTACCAAAATGTGACACAAAGTGAGTGAATGCTGTTGGAAAAATGTCAACAATAGATGTGCTCAATGCAGAGTTGCCACAAACCTTCCATTTTTAGAAAAACACAGTATCTGTGAAGTACAGTAAAGCGAAGCATCATCAAGTAAGGTGTGCCTACTTGATGCTTCCTTTTTTTGAAAATCACAAACCGTCATCATCCAACAGTGGCAGTTGCTAACCACACATGGCCATTTAAATCAGTGAAACTGTAATAAAGTTAAAAATTCAGTTTCTCGGTCACAGGAGCAGCATCTGAAGCCCAAGGCTGCCTACTGTATCAGACAACACATAGAACATTTTCATCATCTCGGGAAGTTCTACCGGCCAGCACTGCCCTAAACCCATGACAAGAAGGGAGGAACTTGCTCATACCCTAGCCAGGAGAAGCAGAGCAGGATCAGCTCTGGATTGTTGGAGGGGCTCCCAAGCTGAGCTGTCTTCTCAGGGGGAGTTCTGCAGCATCAGTCCCAGAGCTGACAGCCACACACAGGGACCCGGAGAGACCAAGACAGCTGACTTAGTGAAACCCACAACCCCTTCACTCTGCCCCCTGGATGGCGTCCCTAAAAACTCTCATCTGGAGGGTGGGGGACAAGTGCTTGTGAACATCTCAGCTCTGCCTACTGCCCCCTCCCCTCCCCCTCCAGCCTTTCTTCCTCACTAGCTCCACTTACCCTGACCTGCAGGGCAGTTTTACTCTGAAGTACCACCTCTGCCAATCAAAGAAGCTGGGCTGGGAGATGTCAAAGTGGCAGCAAACACTTGCAGCACAGGAATTCAAGGCCCTATGACTGCCATTGTCTCAGAACACTGGGGGAGGGTTGGGGGAGAGCTGGGGGGCAGGTAACAGTCCCCCGGCCCCGCCCCAATACACACCCTTGAAGAGATAAATCATTCGCAGTAGGTCACTGTAGCCGGTTCCTTGCCCAAACCAGCATCTATATAGTGATCAACCCTTGACCATCCTCACGCTACAAAGTCACGACCAGTAACCCAGGGCCACCAGAGCAGGAGAACCCCCGAGGTGACCACTGAGTAGATCATGACACTGAGCCCAGAGTGGGGCAGGAACCTGCCCAAGTTCACACGGCAAGGGGGTGGAAGAGCCCAGAGCAGCAACGCGGCTGCCACCTCTGCTGGCTCCCTGGCCGCCTCCTCTGTGAGGAGAGTTCTGTGTCCCCCTGACTGTGCTCAGCCAGCCCTCTCTGGCCAGCAGTGATCCCCACCCCTGACTCACCCACAGGCCCTGGACAGACAGCAGGGGTAGCGCCCCGACCGAGGGCAGCCAGCCAGGTCTGGCCCCTTCCTGGAACCCAATCTGCCCATCAGGCCCTAAGAAGCGTCCTGGAACAGGGCAGGTCAGGTCAGCTCCCCTTGGCCAGCGCGTGCAGCACAGGAATGATGCCAGGATTTCAGGTCAAGTGACCAGCGGGGGGTGGTAGGGAGCTGGCCTCAGGGCAGGGGGAGGAAAGAGCTGGCAGGGGTCCCTGGACCCCTCCTCAGAACCCCCACACCAGCTGTTCCCACCAGTGGGCTGGGATCCTTGAAGGTGGGGCCTGCGATCACTCCCCTTTGACCCCAACACAGTGCCAGGCACCCAAGCAGGCACTCTAGAGAACATGCATTGAACCAGCCAATGAGGCGGACAGCAGGGGCGGGGGCCTCAGCAGTCAAGAGAATGAAACCTTATTCTCCTCTGACTTCATCTACAATTGCACACTCACAGTCCCTGCCCGACCTCAGGGCTTAGAACCAGCCTATGGCAAGGGCCACCCCACGCACAGCACTTGCCACTTGCTAGATACTGCCTTTTTATTTCTTCCCCAGCTCCAGCCTATAAGTTAGGATACCCTCTTCATCTGAAGGCTCAGGATGGACTTTAAAAGTTTCCCAAGATATACGACTGTTAACAGTAGTATACAGGCGCAGCTGAGATCCCCACAAGGGCGTATTGTACTTCAGAGACTGCACTTGGAACCACCTTCATTCATTCAGCAAACACTGGTGAGCACCAGCTGTGTGCCAGGCACTTTCCTAGGTGCTCAAAACACAGCTATGAACAGAACCCACCCAGATCCCTGAGAGCTCTCAGGCTAGTCGATAAGAAGAAAAAAACCAACCAAAGAACATAATGTGGCAGAGTAGGGTTGCCACACCTTTTCTGTCGGAAAGACCGGAGAGTAAATATTTCTGACTTTGCCAGCGGTATGCCCTTTGCGACAATGCCTCAGCTTTGCAGCATGGGAGATATGTAAATGAGTGGGTGTGGTTACGTGCCAATAACACTTTATTAATGGATGGTGAATTTAAAATTTCATATACTTTTGATGTGCCACAGATGTTATTCTTTTGATTTTCTTTTTCGATCACATTTAGAAACAGAGAAACTATTCTTAGCTTACAGGCTACACACAAGCATGCGGGGGCCGTGTTCTGTCCGTGGGCTGTATCTTGCCAGCTCCTGGGAGGCAGAACGGCTGGGGGTGTATGCGGGGAGGGACTTTAGACAGAGCGGTCAAGGAGGGCTCCCCTAAGGAGATGACACTGGTGCAGAGCCCTGAAGGAGAGAGGCTGGCAGCCCTCTGCTCCCAGCGGAGGCGCAAAGGCTTGGTTGCGTGAATGCGGGGGAGGATGGGGGCAGAGGGCAGGAGAGAGGTCTTTGTGGTTGATGGAACCAGATCACAGGGGCCTCCAAGACCCGGGGGAGGACTTTAATCTAAATCTGACGTCAAAACACTGCTCCGGCACTTCCTAGCTTTGCGACCTTGGGCGAACTCTCCAACTGCTCTGTGCTTCATTTCTTAACAAAAATGAGAATAACAATGGTGCCTATTTCCAGAGGGCGGCAGGACTCTGTGAGCATAACATCCCAATGGAGTGTTGGCTTCTGATATTTGTATTCGAATCAAGCTGGATGAAGCAGGACCTGGGAGAGGTGGTGACAACTTTAGTCAACTCACCCACGATGTCCACCACATCCGGCCGGATGAGCGGCTCCCCGCCCGTGAGCCGGATCTTGTCCACGCCTTCTTTCACAAAGAGCCGGGCCAGGGTCAGAATCTCCTCTGTGGTCAGCAGGTCAGCCTTAGGGGTCAGAGGGACCCCCTCCTCGGGCATGCAGTATTGACCTGAGGGAAGGGAGGGGACGCGGAGGAAGGAAGTGAGTGCGGCGGTCAGACTGCGAGGCCTCCGGTCCCCAACTCGCCCACCATGCTGTAAGTTTCTCCGGAATCCGGCCAGGAGGAGAGACCCGGCCAGGTCTGAGGTGGCACAAACCCTAGGCCAGGTTCTCTCTGAGGCTCACCTTCCTCATCTACAGCCCTCCCCATCTGGCCTTGCTGTCCTCCATGGGTTAAAGATGGTAAACGAGCCGCCAGGGCAACCTGGCTGGAGGTAGGGGGAGGGGGAGACCGACTCCCTCTGTGAGGGGCTGCTGGGCGGGGTCTGCCCGGAAGGCCGGGGCCCGAATCATTCAGTTCCTTCACCTCATCTGCTTTTGACCAACAGTGAGCCCCGCCCTCTGTGTGTCCTGAGGTGCAGGAGGCCAGGAGGTGCCCCCTGCCCTGGGCAAAGCCACGCTCCTCTGTGGCAACACGTGTTCCCACACCCAGGCTACATCCTCCAGGTGACCGAACACCAGTCCCATTTCACAGGCCGGAAGACTGAGGTTCCGCCTGTTCAGGGCAAGGCAGCAAAAGGGGAGAACGAGGCGAGCCCTGGCTGGTGAAAGGCGCACCATTTCCTCCCTTCAGTTCCCGTGGGACAGGTTTAACAGCGCTAGTGGTCAGGACCTGCGAGGGAGTCAGGCAGGTTAGGGAAGGGTCTAGAATTGGTCTTTGAAGATGGAACAGATTAGGTAAGAACATCAGTACTGCATGGGGTAAGTATTGTTAGGTTGAACATTTACGACACAGGCAAGTGTTTATTGGGCCATGAAGGAAATACATTTCTTACTGTGAGTTATAGTAGGAGGAAGGGAGGGAGGGAGGAAAGATGGAAGAAAGGCAGGACAGATGGACGCACACACTTTGGAAGTCCCTCCAGCAGTGGATCTGCCCCAGAGCTTTCTGTATGATGTTATGCAATGAGGACTGGCCCCAGACGACTTGTCTGATGCAACTGGAGTGCTTTGCTATACCCGGCAGCGCTGGCCGAGGGCACTGGCCTCTTTCACCTGTTTACAGTGCCCGGCGGGCCCCATGCTGTGGCCTGCACTATGCGGACCTCAGGGAAATAGGAGGGAGGGAGGAAGAGTCCCGAGCCTGTGGTAGGTCCCAGGTCAGCCTCGATCCTGAACCCAGCAGCAATTCTGTTCTCCAGCCTAATCCCAAGGAGAACCCAGCTTCCAAGATCACAAAACTCACTCTTGATCCCCACCTTGCCCCTGAACCCCACTTGACAAGCAAGGAAGAAGGCTGGGTGGAGTTTTCTAGAAAGAGGAATGGGGAGGGGGATTCCTGGACTGAGGGTGATTGCAGGGGCCACTGCAGCAGAGGGACAGGTGTCCAGAGACGGCCCCCCAGGGACGGGGCGGGGGGGAGACTCACATCTGAGGTTGCACCTCTCGGTGAGGGAGATCCGCAGGTAACTGTGGCGCCGGCCGAAGCTGTCGGTGAGGAAGGCGGAGAAGGGGGCGGCGCCCTCCCTCAGGAACGGCCTCGGCCTGGACGGCACCTGCAGTGGGGTGGGAGGAACCACGGGCTGGGGGGCAGGTGTGGGGAGAGCCCACCTCTGGGACACGACCCTCCCATCAACCTCCCCCTCCCTCACCTCTGACAGCCGCACACACTGCCTTTCCATCCATATGTGGGCTCCGCGGTTCAGGGGGCCCGGAAGTCTCCCCTCATTCACAGGATGAGAGACAGGTCTAGAAGGAAGGACCTGCCCCTCCAAGCCTCATGCTCAGCCCTGGGGGGGCAGGGCCTCTGCTGGGGTGCAGCTGCTTGGGCATCAGGACAGGGCAAAGGGCACTAGACCCCACCCAGCCCCTACCTCCTCCCTGTCACGCCTCCCTCAAAGGATGCCCATCCAGGAACAGCCATCCCTAGCATCTTTTGGATGGGTCACCGGGAGGGCATGTGCCTCTCAGTTCCCAAGAAACACATCCAGAAATGAGGAGGGAGGAGCAGGCAGCTGAGAGGGCCAGTGGCTTGGAACCAATTCTCCAACCCAGGCTTCCCCTTCCTTACCTTAAAAATGAAAGTGAAAGTCGCTCAGTCGTGTCTGACTCTATGCGACCCCATGGACTATACAGTCCATGGAACTCTCCAGGCCAGAATACTGGAGTGGGCAGCCTTTCCCTTCTCCAGGGGATCTTCCCAACCCAGGGATCGAAGCCAGGTCTCCCACATTGCAGGCAGATTCTTTACCAGCTGAGCCACAAGGGAAGCCCTTCTTACCTTGAGCTCAAAGCAATTACTCCTTGTGGCAGAGGGGGTCACACAAGCTGCCTCCCCCTTGGCGATGGGGGGGGGGGCGCTCTCTGGAGCCCTCCCACAGCCCAGGAGGACCCAACAGACTATACCCCCAGGAGCAGCTGGGGGCCGCAGCCAGCCAGGGTGGGTACACCTGCGACTGGGGTCTCCCCTCTTGTAGAAGGCCCTGGGGTAAGGACAGTACAACCAGGCGGACCCACAGAGGGAATGAGGCCACCAGTCCCCAGGAAGGGAGGGTGGAGGTGCCAGGATGGCCACCATGCTAACCCCATGCCCAGATTACATCAGTCCTTACCCTTCACCTACCCACTGCCAGCAGAAAGGATTAAGGACCCACTGGGAGGGAGTAGGGGATTGCTGAAGGCTGCTCACAAGGCGCAAACTCATCCTGGGGGAGGGAAAGGAGGCAGCCAACCTCCCTCCCCCTTTCCCAAGTCTGAGATCATCTGCTCTGTCTCCCCCCCTCCCTTTAAAGCAGGGGTCCCCGAAGTCCAGGCTGTGGACCGGTACCTCCTATAAGATCAGTGGCAGCATTAGATTAGAAATAAAGTGCACAGTAAACGTAATGCACTTGAATCATCCCAAAACCACCCCCAGCCCCAGTCTGTAGAAAACTGTCTTCCATGAAATTGGTCCCTGGTGGCAAAAAGGTTGGGGACCCCTGCTTTAGAGCACAACCCTAGATCATGACAGATGTTGATGATAACTGCCCCACAGAAATAACATCTGCAAGGCATCTTGAGGTTTCCGAAGAATGTTCTCTGCTCCATCCCCACACCTGAAAGGATTATTATAACCAATGCTTGGATGGGGCCCACGAACACCCCTGGTGGAACCAGGTCTCAAAACCAGGTCTTCTAAGTTCTGCAGTCTTTCCCCTAACTGCATAGGGTGTGTCCAAGAAGGTACACAGGACGGAATACAGGGCAGGGAGAAGTCATTTCTCTGGAGTCTTTAGAACAATGAAATCATGACCGTGGTGGTCATCTGTGAGGTCTACGGATAGAGCTCTGGACTGGGGGCAAGAACCCTGATTTCCGGGCTCTGTGTGCCCTGACAGACTGGCAAAGCTCTCTGACTCCTCTTGGTCTGCTGTCCCAGCTATAAAACAAGGACAGTTATGGGCTAAAAGTGTCCTGCTGTAAGAGAGGGGGTTAGTCAGGATGCTGCCAGAGAAACACCCCAGATTATCACCATCTTATAACCGAATAAAGCAGGCCTCTGGAATGGATAAAGAAGATGTGGTACCCAATGGAAGATGACTCAGGCATAAAAAAGAACAAATAATGCCATTTGTAGCAACATGGATAGACCTTGAGACTGTCATACTGAATGAAGTCAGACAGAGAAGGACAAATATATCGATTACATGTGGAATCTAAAAAAAAAAAAAATGGTACGAATGAACTTATTTACAAAATAGGGGAAAAAAAGTTACAGATGTAGAAAACAATTTTACAGTTGCCACGGGAGAAAGGGGGAAGGGATAAGTTGGAAGGCTTATAGTGTGTGTGCTGAGAGGCACACACTGCTGTGCCATGCGCACAGTTGCTAAGTCACGTCTGACTCTCTTGGACTCCACGGGCTGTAGCCTGCCAGGCTCCCCTCTCTGTCCATGGGGTTTTCCAGGCAAGAATGCACAGCTGAGCTGCTGTTTCCTTCCCCAGAGGATCCTCCTGATCCAGGGATCCAACTCACATCTTCTGCATCAGCAGGCGGATTCTCTTACCACTGAGCCACCAGGGAAGCCGGTACACACACTACTTTTTATAAAATAGATCTAGCAAAGACCTACTGTATAGCACAGGGAACGGCACTCTGTCATGGCCTATATGGGAAAAGAATCTGAAGAAGAGTGGATGTATATATAAGTGAGTCACTTTGCTATACAGCACATTGTAAATCAACTATATTCCAATAAAAAATTTTTTTAAAAGTTTAAAAAAGAAAGAAAGCAGGTGTCTGGGTCTCCTGCGGTCCAGGAAAGAGAAACATTTACTTCGGGGACCTCCCCAGCCCTGGCTGCATGTTAGAACCATCTGGGGAATTGAAGAAAAACATTCCCGTGGAGACCAGTTGAATTCAGATCTCCAGGTGCCTGTGTTTTTCATCTCTCTGGGCGATTCTAACGTACGGCCAAGGTCAAGGGCCACTGTCTGACTCAAGAGGCAGAAGGAATGAGAGAGAGAGAGAGAGAGAGAGAGAGAGAGAGAGAGAGAGAGAGAACAGGGGGTGCTTCGGGTTTTTCCTGGTCAGTTTCCATAAAACTGACCTCGCTCTGCTCACTCCAGGACCGGCTTCCCAATCCTCTAAGAAACTCTGCTCATGGTCCAGGGACCAGAAAGAAGCCGTCACTTTCCTGAATTGCAGTCTGAAATAATCACAACAGTGCTCCCTCCTCCCTCCCTACTCACCCCACTGCCTTTCCACCCATGCCCTTTCAGGTGGGGCAGGGACACACAGCAGAATCAAGAGTCCCATCCCCACTGCCCACCAGAATCCAGGAGCCCAGACACCCAGGAATCAACAGCTATTCACAATTCAGTAACTGGTTAATCACTCCAGGGCCCCTCCTCCCACGATGCCCTCCTCACCCTAATCTGAACATCCTGGGGGAGGTGGCTGGGTGAGGGAGGAACCTGAATGAATCTCAGAATGGGAGCCAGTGACAGGACAGAGGCGAATGACTCAGCAGAAACCGGAGAGGGGATGTGGAATGGGGCAACTCAGCAAGGAATTGGGCCCTCTGTTCTGGCCAAGGGCGGGGCAGGTCTGATTTCATTTTTGAAACCAAGAGGGACCTTATCTACATTCATTCAGATCCTATAGCCAGTACCTGAGGCAGCCTCCTAAACACACACAAAACACGTCTCTCCTCTCCCTCTCCCAGCCAGGACTGCAAACTCATCACTTGGATATTAACACGCCTCATCCCTGCCTCCTCTCTCCTCCAACACTGCATGTCCTACTTTCATTCTTCCATTTTTTTCTTGTTTTCCTTTCCTTTAAACCCCCTTAAGGGAAAAAAAAAAATATCAGCACCAGTCAAAGGAGACTGGAATCCAGGAAGAATTACCGGGCAGATTAGACAGTGAAGCCTCTCGCCCAGGAGAGGCTAGGACATGTCACAAGCAGAACACCCTTGGCTGCTCAGACTCCCCAGGCCCAGCCTGGGGTGGGAAGTCTTCCTGCCTGACTCAGCATCCCCGTGTCATAGCAGGTGTCGAACCAACTGTATCAATGGACAGACAGGCAGGTCCCCAATCTAGAGAGAAAGGTGGTATGTGTAAAACCTACTTACACTGGGGTAGCCTTTCATTGCTAGGCTTGTCTCTACTGTCAAAATGCTTTAGCCCCACGGAGGGCCAAGAGGGAAAGAGTAAATGTATACATATAGCTCACTCACTTTGTTGTACAACGCTGTAAAGCGACAATGTGTGTTAATCGCTTCAGTTGTGTCCGACTCTTTGCGGCCCCATGGACTATATACACCAGGCTCCTCTGTCTGGGGGATTCTCCAGGCAAGAATACTAGAGTGGGTTGCCATGCCCTTCTCCAAAGTTTAAAAAAAAAAAATGGTTTAGCCTCTAACAGGGACTCTCAACTCCTGTTACACATTAAAATAACCTGAAGAACTTCTGAGCAGTACTGATGCCAGAGCCCCAGACCAAAGATTCTGTCTCAGCTGCTCTGAGTTGGGGCTTTGTTTACAGTGTTCCTATTCTTCTCTGTAGCCCAGGCTGAGAACCATTGGCCCAGCCACACCAGAATCCGGTGCCATGTTAAGCTGGGTGATTCCAGTTCTGAGCATTGGCTTTGGAGGCAGGGAAACCCGAACAACAGGCCCGGCTGCCTACTACCCTTTCAGCTTTAGCTTCCTCGTCCATAAAGTATGGACAATAATCCTACCTAAGTCAACTGCAGGACCTCCTGGCACACAGTAGGGGTTCAGGAAGAGACTGCTCCAATTCACTTACTCTAACTCCTGCTTAGAAATATCCGGTCATCATATATCCATGGAAGGGCACTAGTTGTATACACTATGACTAGTTTTCCCACTCACATCAGTTTCCCTAGTCTTGCAAAGCCCTACTTAATGGCAGAGGGCGCAAGGCTGGGGTTTCCAGAGCTGCCCTCACACCACTCGAAGCAGGGCAAGCAGGGTCTGAGCCACCCAGGGACCATGGACACCAGTGTGAGTAACTGGGCACAAGGCAGCCGGCCATATGCTACTGGTTACGTGTCATCTCCCACCAGTACAGACTGGGCGAGGTGGGGAAGGATAGTGGGAGGAGTCAGTTTAGGGAGGGGCCTGCCCCCCAAGTGCCTTCCCTGGTATCCAGTAACATCGGGCCTTTGATTTGACTGATGAAGGCCAACCTCCAAACAGCTCTGAAGGGTAGGTACCAGAGGAGCGGGGTGGGGGACAAAGAGACAGGCCAAATCCAAATAGCACTGGCCCAATTTACACCCCCTTTGGGAAGAGCTATACCCAGGGATGTTCAAAATTCATCTCTATTAAATGAGGGAACCTGGGCAAAGTGCCCAGCCCCAGGCCTTGACCTCCACTCGCCCTCCAGCCCCATCCTAAGTCTGAGGTCTTCACATCTGTAGGGAGAGTCACACTTCACTGAACGAAGCCTCTGAGGAGCTGGGCAGGGTGGATGTTCAGACAGGCCTCCTGAAAGTCTGCCTTCCTCCCGAGGGTGACTGCCCCAGGCCTGGCCCAGCCATCCTCCTCATGTACCCAGTGCCCCCCTGCATGAACCTGTCCAACACGTGTTCTTCCCGGCTCCCTGAATAACTAAGTGCCGCTGGCATGGAGTCAGCCTCTCCCCTGAACCAAGGCAGCAGGCCCAGGCCTTGAGGCCAGCACCGTGTCACCCCAACAAAGCCTGCACAGAGCCTGAGACGGAGAAAAAGGGCTGTAGTGCTTGCAACTGTGGGAAGCCCTCTGTCCCGACTGTGCCAACCAGGCTGGCAGGGAGCTCCGTCTCCCCTACCCACCTCCCCGTGTACCCACGCACCTCCCCTGTGCCCCTGGAGAAGCTCCTCAAGCTGCCAGTGGACACAACCCAAGGCCCCTTCCAGCATCCTTGCAGCCAGCTCCCGCCCACACCCTGACAGACACCACCTCCTGGCTTCCCCTTGTCTCTCCCAGCACCTCCCATCCCAAACCAGACCTCCAGGGCCCAGTGTGGGGAAGGCGCCCTGCTGGAAGGGAAGGGAGGTCAGGGATTCCAGGATCCCCCACCCTTGGTCCCACCAACTGGCAAGCTCAGTGGATGGGCAGAACACACCTGTCTCCAAGACTTGCTCACCTCTGAGTCTCCCCGAAGGACATGCCATGCCCTCCCTCAACTGCATACAGATGGCCTGGTCTTAAAGACCTGAAAAGAGGGGAAGCCACAGGCCCAGGAGCTGGGTCACGCTGGGGGCACGGCGAGTGTGAAAGCTTGGCCCCATATATCTGCTGCCTCCACGGCCCAGAAACACAGGGGAGCAACCTGTCTGCGGAGGATAACCCTGGTAGGGGATGTCCAGGGTGGGGGGTTCTGTGAGCAAACAGGTGACAGAATGAGTGTCCTGAGTGTCCAGGTGGGAGGGGACTTATGGGACACAGCATGTGACAGTGGTGGCAAGGATAATAATGAAGACAAACATGAAATACACATGCACAGCATGTACACGGGCCAGACTTTTCAAGTGTGTATACACATTACATTAACTCCTTTAATCTCTATAACCACCCTAAGAAGGAGACACTGTTATTTCCATTTTACAGAGAAGACTGAGGCACTGAGGGAGAGGGACTTGCTGAAGTTCACACACCTAATAAGTGGCAGGGCTGGGATTCAAATTGAGGCATTCTGCTCAAGTCCACCTTCCTACCTGCTAATGATCCCTCCTCCCTCACAGTGCAAAGGAAAGGGTGGGAGCAGCCTCCCCCACTCTCCCTGCGGAAAAGAAGCCGGAGCACAGATGCGAACGTTTGAGCCTCTGCTCACTTACTTTACAGCTCAGGGGGGTCCAGAGAAGTTCACTTCCATGGGCTCCCTCAACTGAAGATACAAACTCTACTCACCTCAGGTGGTTTACTGTGAGGCCTCTGTGAGACCATAAATGAAGCCTCTTAGCACAGGCTGAAAAGTACAACGTGAGTTAGGGGCTGGGGGTGGAGAGGAGAAACTTCCCTTTTCCTGAACTCTTTAAAGACCTCTCAGCCATCTTGGTTTTCCCATTTTCCCCTCCATGACCTTCAGAGTTCAAGAATTTGGACACACTTCTTCACCTCCCAGCAATGAGAACTGCTTATCTAAGGATCCTGAGGGTGAGGAGGGAGGTCAGAATTGAGGAAAGCCATTTAACCTGAGACTCTCCTCCTGATTGAGCAACAGCAGGTGCTCAGTCTGTTGACCTGCTGAGCCCCTGAACCTGAAGTCCTGTGCCAGGGGGTGGGAAAGGAATGACCAAATGGACCCAGAAGAGGTTCCACCAAATAAAAAGAGACTTCTCCCCAAATGATACCCTGACAAGATGGGCAAAACAAATTGAAAACTTGTCACGCCAAAAATCCCTCTGAGATGCTGCTAAGGACTCAGGCGTGGGGGTGGGGGTGGGTGCTATCCTAACCCAAAAGAGACAGCAGATTCCCAATCCTGCAAGAGCCCAGGTTCTGGGCTCCACTCTGCTCCAGAATCAGGCTGAACCCTCCTAAGGGAAATGAAGATGTAACACAAAGAGCCAGTGAAGGACGGGTCACACAGCCAGGTGACTACAAAGTGACATTTTTAGTCAGTGCCACATTATGAAGTAGGTGTCACAGAAACACCTGATCACACAGACAACCTCCCCGGGGGGTACAAGGTGGAAACTGTTTCAGGAAGAAGCTGTTTAAGGGTGTGAGGCAGGGCTGAGAGGGGTGCTAATAACATCACACTGGTCCCAGAGTCCTGCCTGCCCGCCTGCTCCCCCATCTCTGGGAGTCACTCAGACCTGGAAGGAGGTTGCCTGGCCGGTGGGCAGGGAAGCTTTTGAGTCAGACCCCAGGGAGCACCTGGGGTTGGCACCTCCAGTTGGGATTCCAGGTGGGACTGGGCGGTCGATCTAGAGAATATCTTTCCACACTTCTCCCTGTGCCCCTAATTAAGCGCCGAGGGGGGTCCCTCCCAGGAGCGGACACCACTTTCAGAAGCAGCTGCCGCGGAGGGGCCGGGGTGCTTCTGGGCAGCTAGCTGCCTGGCCACTGGCTCCCCCAGAAAAAGTGTGGATGCGGACGGGCTCACCTCCACGACAGGCTCCCCAGGGCATGGCTGCGTCACCGGAGCCCCAGAGCTGCAGCTTCGGACGCCGGCTCTCAGGACCCGCCGCACCACCCGGGACACTGGCTGGGCCGCCATTGAAGCCTGCCGGCAGTGCAAGATCCCACAGGGTAGCCGATTCGGGAGAACGCTAGCCCGGGACTCGCCGCCCCGGGTCCTCGAGGCAGGGGCGGGGCGGAGGCGGGGCCCAAGCAGCCAATCGGCGTGGGCGCCGGGTCGCACGGCCTTCTGGGAATTGTAGTCCACCCCGGCGGCTCCTTTTCCCAGGCAGGCTGTGCTCTATCTAGGGAGGGCTTGGAAAATGCCAAGTGCAAACTCAGCCAAAGATCCTGAGTCTTTTCCTACGGGCAGCTCTGGACTTTGTGCCAGTCTTATACCACGACCTAAGTGCTTTAGGGCCAGGTGAATGAAATTTAAGGAGGTGCCAAAAAAGTAGGTTTTCAAGATAATGTTTTAATGCAATATCTCAAAAAGCCAGAATGCCAAAACAAAACAAAGCAAAACAATGAACAAACTATCAACGTTTTACATAAAAAGATATGAGGAAAAAACACATAGCTGAGTAATAGCTGTAGGCTTTTCCCTCACCATCTTTCTAGCATTATCACCCATTTCTCCCCAAAGTATGTCCTGCATTCCCTGACACAGGATTATTGGCCATTTCCTCAACTGTGCTTTCCTACCTATCCACCTCTGCCCATCTCTGCCGATTTAAAGGTCATCCATGCTCAGACACAGAAGAAATTCCATTTCACTAATCTCAACAGTGCCCTCAGCCCTAAACACATACTCAACCAAATGTTCTCTCTTTTCCTGAAACTTTTAGGCTTTTATTTCTTCCTTTGTCACAAATCCTTTAACCTATTATGGTAGGTAGTATACTTTTATATATATTTGTAATGCTCCTGTACTTAGTGACTGCAGTCTTCTAGAAAGAAGGGATCAATGCTCACGGTCATTTTTGTATCACCTACAGTGCTCAGCACAGTACCTTTCCCATAGTGTTTATTGAATAGTTCTTAATCAATTTAAAAAAAAACCAATATCTGAGCCTGCACATTTATGACTTACCTAAATCCTTTCACGGAGTCTAGGCCCTGGTTGTAAGATGGTCAGCTCCCTCCTTCAGGATACACTTCTCCAATTGTTAGTGCCCCAAAGGACACTAACAATCTTGGCATCTGTGTTCAAAAACATATGTAGCAAGAAGTCAAAGAATAAGTGGATGTCATCTTTGGAATGCTCCCTACACACCAAACACCATGCTAAGCATCACTTAATACTTACAATAGTCCTACAGAAAATAGAATGTCAGCTTTGCAACTTAGGAAACAGAAGCTTGGAGAGGATAGGTAATTTTTCCAGAGTCACGTGGTTGATAGCTGGGAAAACTGGGCTTTAAACCCAAGACAATATGATTTCTAAAGTCAAGATTCAGTATGTATCAGGAACTGGGGAGAAGCGTCCCTTTCTCTCTCTCAAAAACAAAGTGTATATCTTTAAAACTTTCCATGGAATGCACCCTCAGTAATGAATCTATGTACTAAGAATCCTTATACTCAAATAGGCTGCCTGTCTGTTACATCACTATAGAACTGCCAGAACCAAACACTGAAAAACATCATTGGAAACTCACCTTCAATTTGAAGCTTTTCTGAAAGTCTCACTGCATTTGTACAAATCAATTATTGTCAGTTATCTTTTCCTCTCCACAGTCTATCAGCTTTTTAAGACCAGGAACTGTATCCTTATTTCCTAATACACACTTGGTAGGTAGTATGTTTCAGTCAAAGTTCAGACAATATATGCAGGGGTTGAAAGTGTGTTTGGGTACATTTGAAACAGTGGGACAGGCCTGATGGAAATCTATTTGAAAACGGCCTGAGAACCCATGAAGGACTGTTCAAGCTCTGTCCATAGCTAAGTTTGATGCCTGTCTTTCCTCTTCCCAACCACCCCCGACTCCCAAAAAGGACCCAGGACAAAACTTTTGAAAGCAACCAAGATGTCCTTCAGTGGGTTAAATGGGTTAATAAGCTGTGGTATACCTAGACAATGCAATATTATTTCAGTACTAAAAAGAAATAAGCTAGTGATCCATGAAAAGATATGGAGGAACCTTAAATGCATGCTACTAAGTGAAAGAAATCAATCTGAAAAGGCTACATATGACTGTATGTTTCCAACTATAGAACATTCTGGAAAAGGCAGAACTATGAAGAGAGTAAAAAGATCAGTGGTTGCCAGGGTTTAGTGGGAAAGGATCAATAGGTGGAGCACAGAGCATTTTTAGGAAGGGGAAACTATTTCCTATAATACCACAATGATGGTACAGATCATTATTCATCTGTCCAAAAACACAGGATGTATCAAAACAACACTAAGAATTAACCAAATTGTAAATGATGAACTCTGGATAGCTATGTTGTGTCAGGATAGGTTCATCAGTTGTAACGTGTACCACCCTGGTGGGGGATGTTGACAGTGGACAAGCCTGTGCATGTATAGAGACAGTAGGTATGTGGAAAATCTCCGTAACTTTTTCTCAATATTTCTGTGAACCTAAAACTTCTCTAAAAAACAAGGTCTTTATTCAACAAAAACCCACAATTGGTTTTCTGGCTATATGCCCATTGCCTCTCTCTCTCATAATAGAAGCCTCAAGTATGCACCCTCTACACTCATTCAAATCCCTCTTCACTCCATCGGTAGCTGTGGACTCTGCAAATTTAGGCATTTTAATTAAGCAGTGAAATTTTTTAAAGTTTTGAAAAATATTATTTCAACAATTCATTTAATGTCCATGTTGTTTGAACCTTCTTCATGCTGTTCTCCATTTGCCTCTCCAGATTCCCTGTGACCCTCCCCACGCTGCTCTGAGGACTAGAATGTTGGTGTCTACCAGCTGTTTGATGGCATCACCCAGGCTCCCTTGTCTCTGGTTTCCTGCCCAGCAGGAGGCATAGGCAGGAGACTAGAGACGAGAAAGAGAGAGCAGTCAGAGTGTTTATTCCTCCCCCCTGTTTTGCCGTGGGCTGGCGCTGACTGTCCTTTTCTATGACCATAATTAAATGGCCCTTCCGTCTTGAGTCCAGTAACACCAGGTCCAACAACACCGTTTCTAGCCATCCTCCCTTCGAGCTGGGGCGGGGTTGGCTTTCCTTTGCTGATGGTCACAGATGCCTCAGCATCCCTGTAGCCATTTGGACTCTGCCCACACCTCAGAAATGATCCCTTTGGAAATCCCACCTAAATGTGCTGTCAGTTTCTTGCTGGCTCCAAGACTGATAAAGGATTCAAGGATGTTTCCCTCCCATAGTAGCCTAGATTCGCCCTTGTTGATAGTGGTAATTACAATAGGGCAACAGTTTATCTACGTACCTTCTGCAATGTAAGTTCTTTGAGGGCTGCTGCCCAATTTAAGTCATCTGTAATCACAACACCTAGCATGGTGTTTAATGCACAGTAATCTCCCAATAAACGGGCATTAAATAGTACATTCTATGCCTTTGATTTGCGTTTCCAGTGAGGTGGCTGTATTAGTCAGGATGGGCTAGATTGTGCTGGTATAACCACCAATCCCAACATCTCAATGGCTGAAAACCACAAGTGTTTCTCAAGTGTGTTACATGCCCAGTAAGGGTTAGCTGAAAATTATTTACCATCGGTGTTATCCTGACTCTGAGCCCCAGGTTGGAGGGGAAGCTGATATCCACACAGAACATGTGGAGAGAGAAGGAGTGTGCAGAGGAGCAAACCAGCTCTTAGAACCTCTTCCTGGAAAGGCCACACATCATTCCGCTTCAAGGAAGTCATGTGGCTACATATAATTTCAAAGGGAAAAGAAGTTTAGCTTCCTTGCAGAGAGGGGAAGCAGATATTGGTGAACAGTAAAAATTTTACCAAGGGAACAAACTTCCCCTTGTGTTTTAGTGCAATATCATCCAAGCTGTTCTGTTCCCCTGGACAACTCTTGCCTTTATTCATCCCTGTGGTTTGCATTATATACTGAAACCAACCATGGAGGTTTTATGTGTCTGCACATGTCATCATAGTCCCAGTGCTAGGAAGTGCTGACTTCACCATTCAGTTGTATGTCATCAGCAAAATTGGCGGGGAGAGTTTCTAGTATGTCTTTAATTCAGTGGTTCTTAAAGTGGGTTTCCAAGGTCAACCGTCTTCCTAATACTGCTAAGATACCATCTGCCTTTTCCATTCTCATGCTCCTATGGTTTTATAGACGAATTTTAAACAGGTTATGCAATAGTGGTTTCAAAACAGATTGAATGCAAAAGCAGATATGAAAATCCAGCTTTTCTATGAAGCTCAGCAAAGAGATCTGCAAAAATAGAACACAATGCCACCTTTCTTCCTAATTTTTGGAAAATATAGATATTTTAGTAAAAATGCTTATAGTAGGTAGTGATTTTGTTATTTTTAAATGAGTTAAATATTTTTAAATTTCTGTCTTACTTCCTAATATGATAAATATAAATTAAATTGGCATACTAAATGTATATTAAATAAACATAACACACAGAAGCAAAAATTCTATGGGTCTTTTGTACTTTTAAAGAGTAGAAAGGGTTCTTGACAAAAAGGTTTAGAATTTCTGCCTTAATATATGCCTTTTCATCTTCTGCAGACCCAGAGGCATCCTAATAGTGCTTTATAATTACTCTCTGATCACATCATCTTACCTAAACCATAAAAAAAAATAAAATAAAATAAAACCTCAGACCAATTCCCTATTTCCCTGGGCTCCTGGTAGGCTATCTGTTTTATGAAGAGGATGGTAGTAGGATGATGGTTTCAGGGAATCCTCCCTAGGAAACTGGGTTCAATGAAGGAGCCCCACACTGGAAACCAACCCCACTTCAGGTATAACCTCTGCCATTTAGTCACTTTCTATTCATTTGACTCAGGTTCCTCATCAGTTAGGAATCATAAACAGGTTTTCAGTCTCCCTAGGATTAAATCATAATGCATAAGCAACAGCTCTATTGTTTTTATAATTTGTTTAGGAGCAAAGAGTGCCTTACCAGTGTCACCAAAACCATCTTCGCCCTACATGAAAG